AAAGGTTTAAATGTGGCCCAGGGGAGTAAGGAAGAAGTTTTATATTGGCCAAGAAGTATGAGTCTTTTTGATTAAGTAGACCTGAATGCTCTGAAAAATTTAAAATAATCATCTAACAGTGCCAGCATGAGCCCTTAGTCACCTAGGCAACAGAACAGGTTTCCATGGTGATGCATGGGTCTGTATCAAAGATAACTTGATTTTTAATGGAGGGGATATTCCTCTAAAGAGCACTGAAGCTCACTGCTAGCTGCTCAGTTTCCCTTGTACACTGAGCTCTCTGTGAATAGCGGTAGCAGTTCTTCAGATACCAAATACTGGCAGTAGCTGATATACATGTCCTGTTCTCTACACACCACAGACTGCCCAACCCCCAGGAATATTTTGCCCTTTATTGTAGAGCAATGGAAGATGCATGTTTCCTAATTACATCTCACAATTTCATTATGTTTGCTAAGAAGAAGTATAAAGTTTATTGTGAAGTGATCAAGGGGAAACTAGTTTTTTGAGGGGGTCCTACACATCAGCATCTAAGATCCTCTTCTCCTGAGCCCCTGGGTTATCTACATTTGCATCCTCCAGTGTTGTGCCTGAGACACAGGAGCAGGGAGGGAATATGTGCCTGGTGCTGGCCTCATGGACTGGGCTGGAGAATGAGGCAGAAAGCAGGATGGCACAGACAGACCTTCATGGAACCCTCACATGGGTAAGCACCTGTCTTTAAAGCAACAAATCAAAGCCTCTTGGGTTCTACTCCAGCGAGCTCATGTTAATTCAGTCCAAATCCAGGGAGGATGCGATGCCAAGTACTGTCCAAGGTGCTGGCACAGGGCAGTTAATAAAGCAGAGTCCTCATCCAATGAGATTCTAATTGAGAGAGCCAAACAGACCCTCAAATCAATAAATCTGTATATGTTAGATTACGTGGTACTAATTAGTAAAGAGTAGGGTGGGGCAGTAGAGAGAGATGGAGAATGCTGTCTTAATAGGTGTGAGAAATCTGTGTGATGGGAGATGCAGAGGAACTAAGGGAACCGCTGTTAGAAGTTAGGGAAATATCTTCCGTGTGGAGGAGCTGCCCAGTCTTCAGTGGCAATGTGTGGTTTCTAGAGGACAGCAAAGTGTGAGGCGTGAGGGGCACTGGGCCCAGGATCACCCCGTTGATGGGATTTCATCCTCTTCCCTGACCACATCCCCAACCCTGAGCCTCACCCAGGACCCTTCCTAACTCACTTGACACCCATAGGTGATAAGTTAGAATAACACACCTGTTATTCTATGTAATAAAATCACTTTCAAGTCTGGAAAACTTGAGTCTAGCAGTCTGGGAGGGTCAGGAGCCGACTTACAGCTGAGCGTTCCCTGAATTACCTGAAGTAGAATACAGTGCTAAGGAGAGAATAAGGAACATAAGTGAGCGTGCTGACTTGAGCGTCTCTGTGCATGTGTATGTGCAGTCATCCCTGGGTACCCATGGGGTACTGGCTCCAGATCCCCCTGAGATATCAAAACACAAGGACACTTGCGTCCCTTCTCTCAGTCAAGGCAGCACTTGCATAGAATGCACTCACCCTCTCATGAGCTTTCAGTCATTTCTAGATTGTTGATAACACCCAGTGCAATATAAACACTATAAATAGCTGTGTACGTATTGTTTGGGGGAATAATGGCCACTCTTAAAAGCTTATTGGGGTGCTGAAGAGATGGCTCAGTGGTTAAGAGCACTGGCTGCACTTCCAAAGGACCCAGGTTCAATTCCCACCTACATGGTGGCTTACAACCATCTGTAACTCCAATTCTAGAGGATCTGACACCCTCTTCTGCTCTCTGTGGGCATTGCACAACATGAGTGCACTTATGTACATGCAGGCAATACACTCATAACACATAAAAAATGAAAAAATAAATTAAAAGAAGCCTATTGGCTGAAATCACAAATGCAGAACCCAAAGATATGAAGGGTCGAACATACACAGCCAGCAATATGTCTCTTTTATTGCATTTTATATGGATGCATATTTTATGACATATTGTTATGGGAAACTGAGGCACAGGACCAGCCACATACATAGAAGGCACCAAGAGACTCACACAGAGAAATCAGAAAAGTTTATTCATGCTGGCAGACTTTCCTCTTAAAGAACTTGAGCCCCAAGTTTAGTTTCTTCACAGTTTTTATAAATCTCCCTGCTTTATTCTTTAATTGGTACAGCACAGGTGGGCTTAAGTTACAGCCCATGTGATCACCAGCACAGGTGCTTACAGCCCATGTGATCATGAGCACAGGTGTTTACAGTCCATGTGATCACCAGAGCAGGTGCTTACATGCCCTAAGACCACTGAAAGGAAATTCCTTCTGAAAGCATGTTTGCTGAACTAGATATTTAGGGTAGGAGCAAAGATACTTTCTTAAACAGAGTTGATCGCAGGTGCCTTAGCAAGCAAGGCAGCTGCAAACAGATATTCCATAGGATAACTGTGGTATTCATTCTCAAGACAACTTTCTCCATTTTAGTTTTGATTCTCTTTTCAACATAGATTTTAGTAAACATTCATAAAACCACTGTAAGGTGCTCCTATGTCCTAAGTATAAAAAATAGTCATAAAACAGTATTAGACACACACAAAAGTGATATTAAATGCATGGGTATATTCCTTTTCCTCTTCAATATATATTTTAAACTGTGCAGACAGTGCACCCCATGGTTTGCACTGGGGTTCTGCTCTTGCCCATGTAGAAGAGGCAAAAATTTACCTCTATCCCCCAAGGAATTTTTCTTCTAGGTCTGATCATTGAAACAGAGGTTGTAAGCTCAAGACTTGCCTGGGATACAGAGGGATCCTGGGCAATCTTGGCAACTTAGTTGTCTCCAAATTAAAAGTGAAAAGGGTCTGGGGATGTAGCTCAGCGGCACAGTGCTTGCTTAGCAGGAATTACACCCTAGGCTCAATTCTCAGTATCACAAAAACAAATAGGTGGAAGATAGATGAGCGAGAGAAAACCATGCGTACCTAGTACAGTCTTCTTATGCTCCTTGGTTAATATTGTCAACTTGACAAACTCTAGAATCTTCAAGGAGACCAACCTCTGAGCATGCTGTGAGGAAGTTTCTAGATTGAGTTAATTGGGGTGAGAAGATGGACCCTAAATGGTGCCTATTCATGGCTGAAGGCCTGGACTGTACAAAAAGGAGGACAGGAGTTGAGCACCAGCATTCATCTCTCTGTTTCCTGATTGCACATGCAGTGTGACCAGCTGCCTCACGCTTCTGTTGCCACGCCTTTCCCTCCATGAAGGACCATATCTCCTCAGACCACAAGTCAAAAATAAACCCTTCCTTCCCTAAACTGCTTTGGCCAAGGATATGGTCACAATAGTAAAAAAAAAAAAAAAAGTCACCAACACAGCATGGAAGACTTCATAAAGAAATGAAAGACCCAAGGCACAGCTGCAGAGAAATGCTTCTATCCTCTTGTTATAATCACATCTACTCCATATTTCTCAATTCACCTGTACCCTCCAACCTACTCCTCCTAATGTCATGTCCTTATTTCTAATTTTTGTATTTCTGAGAATTTCATACATGAGTAGTCTTTGTATTATTTCCATCCCTTCAAGTCCCCCACTCTCTCAAGTTCTTGTCCTCATATTGTCCAGTGACCCACACACACACACACACACACACACACACACACATATATGTATGTATAATATACTGAGTTAATTTGGTAGTACACATGTGTACCCAGGTTTAGGGTTGTCCATTTGGGATTAGATAACCTCTCAAGGAGCTCGTCCCTGGAGAAATGATTCTCATTCCCTCAGCATCCATTGATTGCCTGTAGCTCTTTATCTTGAGGTGCGACCTTGTGACATTTCCCCCATCTGCCTTGAAATGTTAGCTGGTTTGTCATTATGCAGATCTCATTAGACTACCAGACTGTGGAGATGTCATTGGTGCAACTTCCCTATCATGTCTAGAATGTATTAACTAGCAGCAGGTGTCTTATCTCTCTGGCTTGTTCTTTCTGCCACTAAGCCCAGTTAGAACTGCTCACACATGAATGGTTGTGGGGCCATCCACTGGAGCGTGGGAAGCCCACCAGTGGGAACACATTTCAAAAGAATGATCTTCCCTCCCCCAGCAACTCTTCACTGCCAACAGTGCTTCAGTATGAGATGGGACCTGGAAATCCTCTACCCTATCTTTGCCAGAATTTTGACTGGCTCCATCTTGTATGGGTCTTGTGCAGGTAAACACAGATTCTGTGAGTTCATGAATGTACTAGCCATGGCATATTTGGAAGACAGCACTTTCACAACACTCCTCCCATCCTCCAACTCTTACGTTCTTTCTGCCTCTTCTTCTGCAATGTTCCTTGAGCCTTGGTGTGATGGGGCTAATGTAGATATCCCATTTAGGGCTGAGTACTTGGTCGCTTATTCTCAGCACTTTGATCAGTTCTGCATCTCTCCATTGACTGCTGCTTACTGCAAAAGCAAACCCCTCTGATAAAGGTTGAGAGCAGCCCAAGTCTATGGGTATAAACATAAATATTTAGAAGGCAATTTGACAGTATAACCATTTAGCAAAATAATAGAAGGTTCTACTCCAGAGCCTATGACCTTTCCAGCCATGGACTTTTGACCAGAATTACAGTATCAGGCATGAAATTTCATGAAATCCCACCAGAAAACAGTTACCCCACAATTGTCCTGCCACCATTGCATTGGAGGCACATCTTGCTTGGCAGGTCAATATTAAAGCATGCAGGGTTCAGTGCTGGCTAAGGTCACTGATGTCTTTTCTCTCCAAGCAGCCTACATAGCACTACCTGGCATTATGAAAACAAGCCAGCAAGGAGGAAAGTTCCCAGGCAGTTTGAGATTGATTTCTCTATGTCCTGTAGCCAAAGCCTGTGACATTTTCAGCAATAGGGCCTTACTATATAGTTATGGTGGGTAACCAAGGGAAATGGCAACATCCTGTGTTGTTTTGGAGACTTCTTGGGCCTCCCTGACCAATAACTCATAGGGAGGCATCCAATGCTTTGTACTGAGATTTTCGTTTAACAACCCATGTCTTCTGGGAGCAACATTGTCCACCCATGCAGGATAATTACGGTATGGAGGAAATAGGGTTGAAGGGAAGGGCTAACCCAAAGGAAGAGTGTATGAAAGGTCATATGGAAACTGACTATCTCACAACCAAACTTAAAAAAATAATTGGAGGGATAATTGAACACAGGAGAAATAAACAGGGGGCTATGGAGGGTTAAATGATTACATAGGGATGTGGACCAGAAAAGAGAAGTCGGTGGGTTAACCCAAACTAAGGATGTATGAAAAAGCCTTATGGTAACCCACTAGTTAGTAATCCAATTCCAAAATATACTTTAAAAAAGACAGAAGACATCTTTCACATGGCAATTCTATCTCTTGCTTTGAAGACACAGAATGGCGGTCAGTGGCTTTTGCACGCCTGGGTTGTCCAAGTACATTTCAACCCCATTAATTTCCATGCCAGAGAAGCCTTCTTCATGGTGATATTTCCACTCCCTTCATCAGGTCCTGCTTCCATCGGTGGGGGATCTGGGAGGAGCCTCTGCCCACTGGGCATCCTCCAGGCAGACCTCTCCTCTCTGTTTTCAAAGTTTCAGAAAGAGGGAAGATCAGAGTTGCTCACCAGTTAGTATTTTGCCTGATTTTGCTTCTGTTTAAGGGGAAAGATCTTGGGTCTCCTCTATGGAAAGTAGCCAGGCCAGAATCTATCCTCATTTGTGGGTAACATGCTGGAGAGTCAGTCTACCAGGCCTTGCCTCTTGGATCTCCTGGGCTCCATCTTGGTGACTCTGAGCATGTGGAACCTGTCAGAAGAAAATTAGCATCCTATGAAACTGCATTATGTGTGGAAATGTGCTCTATAAACTTGAAAAAGTACAAAATATTTGCAGAGTTTCAAGAGACCTTCAAAATCCCTCTTCTGTCTTCCCAGAAGACACTTTAGAATAGTTTCAGCATTAACTAACAATGTCTATCTGCCCAGGTGTTAGAAGATTTTGCTAATTGAGTCTTTTAGAAAAATAACCTCATCTACACTCCTGACTGGACATGAGCTGGACACTAAAGATTAGTTCATGTATTGTATCTTCTCTTTGAAGTTATGCAGGAAGTTAGAACCAGGTATTTAATTAACACTGGTTCTTGTAACAGAGACAGTAATTCTCTGAAGTGTAGAAGGAAGCTCTATTAGTTTCATTCTTGTAATGAAGCGCGCTTCCTGTTTTGTGTTCCCCAACAGGAACCTCTGTAGGAAGGAGTCACATGGTATTCCAGGCAGGATTGTAGTGAATCGGTCTGGACCCAGCATTTTCTCTATCCATCAACTTTTCATCAGTGCCAAAGGCTGCTGAAAAGTGAAGGCTACCTGAATGGCTCTTTCTTCATTTCAGCCTCCCCCCTGTGTATAGAAAAGTACAGTCTCTACTGCATTCCTTCCCATCTCCATCCTGCCCTCTCCTCTATTTTCAGAGAAGTCTCCATTATCTGGGGAGCCTGCCCCTCTCCTTGGCGATGCTCAGAAATGTCCTGATGTCTTGAGTCTTAATTTTCAGGAAACTAAATGTTCTCAAAACCTATTGCTATCTTTAAAGCTTTTGGGCTGCAAAGATTGTTCTAAATTTTCTAAGATGGAGAAGACACAGACAAGATAATAGATTCAGGGAGAAATTGGGAATGATTTTGTACACATTAGTCTGGTATACTTACCATACAGATGCTAGGGCATTCCATATGCGACTTTGGAATTTAAGAAAGGTCAGGGCTGGGGCTATGCTACTGGGAATCTCGACTCCAACAATGGTCTTTAAATCTGTGTGTGGGCTTGGGATGCAACTCGGTTGGTAGAATGTTTGCTTAGCACACATGAAACTCTGGGTCCACTCCCTAACACTGCATAAACCAGGCATGGTGGTGGACACCTGTAATTCCAGCATCCAGGAGTTGGAGATGGTAGAATCAGGACTTCAAGGTTCTCCTCAGCTACCTATAAGATTTGAGGCCAGCCTGGGCTACATGAGACCCTGGTATTTATAAGTCAGTCATTTGCCTTAGCAGCCTGAGCTTTCCAAGACAGAGGACTAGGAGAACAAACCTAGTTGCCCCACATCCCATCTTTTCTGTGGTTTGCTACGTGGTAGTTATTTAGTCTAACTCTGGTTAAATATGTGAATGGATTAGATGAGCTCAATGCACAGCTCTTTCCTGATGGCAATCTTGAATGCCAAGAAGGGCTCTTCAGAGGTAGTGCCACAAGACTCTGTTAGAGATTTCCCCAAGTGGTAAGTGATCAGGCCAGGTCCAGGCCCAAAGCAATGTGAAAAAAAATTTTTTAAAAATTATTTATTATTTTTATTTTATGTGTATGTGTGTATTGCCTGGATGTAGGTAAGTGCACCCATGTCGTGCAATGCCTGTGGAGGTCAGAAGAGGCTGTCGGATCCCCTGGGACTGGAGTTACAGACAGTTGTTAGCTGCCATGTGGGTGCTGGGATTCGAACCTGGGTCTTCTTCAAGAACAACCAATGAGCCATCTCTCCAGTGCCCCCGCCCCCATTTTTTTTTTGAGTCAGCAAACCATAAAGGATAATAAAGAAATCAGACTGGGGAGATGACTCAGTGGATAAAGTGCTTATTGCTCAGGCATCAGTCCAGAGTTTGATCCCCAGTACCCATGTTAAAAGCCAGACTCAGTGGCACACACTTTTAATCCTAGGTCTTGGGAGACAGAGCTATCCTGGGGGCTTGCTGGCCAGTCAGCCTAGCCAATCAGCGAGCTCTGGGTTCAGTGTGAGACTCTCTCTCTCTCTCTCCTCTCTCTCTCTCTCTCTCTCTCTCTCTCTCTCTCACACACACACACACACACACATATTCACACAAGAACAATGAAGGAATCATTTTAATTTGTTTTTAATATTAAATGTTTAGGAAAACTCCCAGACTCATCCACAAGAGTGTCTGACTGTCAGATGTCAGGGTAATTACACCATGACCTCCACATACCCTTGAATTTCTATAGAGATTCGAGAATTAATTTCTCAAATTAATTGTTAATGAAATCACCTTCTAAAGCCTTGAGCTCCCTATAGTAAGTTGTTTGCTTCCTGTGTCTGTTATTAATTCTAATGTTAATAAAACATACCATCCACAGTATGCACATCTCTGAGTTCCCACAAGAGTGGGAATGCTAGCTTTCCACCCTACATTCACACTGATGCCTCTCGTCCAGGCCTCAGCAGGGGAACCGAGAGCTTACTGATTCTCCACTATTACCTGCTTGATAGATTGGGCCACATTTCTCTGTGGACAGCAGCTTGCTTCAATTCCATTAGCTAATCACATGAGCAGTGGTGCCCACTGGCAGTCCCAGGTGGGATTCTGAAATCTGCCTGCTTGGACACTGCTCTGGTCTTTGTGAAACATTTAGACAGATGTCTGCTGCCTGCTCCTGTGAGAGTTTCATTCATGTTGGTTTGTAAGGAAAAGACACTGCCCGGGTAGACTTTTTGGCATATACTCCTTTAGTCACAGTATACATATTAGTCAGAAAAAGGAGAGGGCAAAGGATTCTTCATGATCAGGCTGTGTCTGTCTCTTAGCTCTATATTCTGTCATAGACACTGACATCCACACATCTCAGTCTCTGTTTATGATGAATGTATGCACGTGCTTCCACTTCTGTCTGCCCGTCATCTCCTATCCATTGAATGTACCTGTCATACACATGAAATAAAAATAATAAATACAATATTTTTAAAAAGAAAAGGAGTTTTTAGCCAGGCATGGTGACACACGCCTTTAATCCCAGCACTTGAGAGGCAGAGGCAGGCAGATCGCTGTGAGTTCAAGGCCAGCCTGGTCTACATAGTGAGTTCCAGGACAGCTGGGGCTACAGGGAGACCCTTGTCTCAAAAAAACCCAACCAACAAACAAATAAACAAAAAACAGACAAAAAGATCAAAAAATAAAAATAAAAAGAAATGGAGTTTTTAAAAAAAATTTGTGATGCTGAGTATTTATAAAGTGTGACATTTTACACTATGTGAAAAACTACAAAATATTTTTTGACTTAGTTATTTTTATTTTATGTGTATGGGTGTTTTGCCAGAGTGTATGTAAGTGTACCACATGTGTGCAGTGCCCACAGAGGCCAGAAGAGGGTGTTAGATCCCCTGGAACTGGAGTTAAGGACAGTTGTTAGCTGCCATGAGGATGCTGGGAACCAAACCTGGATCCTCTGTAAGAGCAGTCAGTGCTCTTATCCTCTGAGCCATCTCTCCAGTCTCCGGGTGAAGAACTATTAGCAAGTCTTTATTTATATACTAATGATGATTTTATTTATTTTTTTTGAGACAGGGTCTCCCTATGTACCAGGCTGGCCTGGAATTATAAAATTATGATCCTCCAGCCTCAGACTCCTAAGTGTCTGGATTATAGGTGTGTACCACATTCAGCTACCCTCCCTCTTCCTCCCTCTCCCTCCCTCCCTCTCTCCCTTCCTCCCTCCTTCCTTCCCTCTCTCCTTCTCTCCCTCCCTCCCTTCTTTCTTCCCCCTCCCTTCCTCTCCCTCTCCCTCCCTCTCCCCCCTTCCTCCCTGCTCTGCAGAGAAAACAGATTTATTCAATGTGACCACACTGAGAAGAGGAACACACAAGTGATCTGGTGACCTCCCAGTCCATCTTCTAGGCCTTGTGAGTGTCTTCTGAGTCATCTTTGTGATCTGCTCTTTGAAGCAGTTTGACCTGGAGTGCCATTAGCTCATAAGTGACCCAGCTTCAAGAACCCGGAGCAGCAGAAAGTTAAACCAGACAATCTCAAACAACTTAATGCAGCAAACCCCGTCTTTTCTTCAAGCACCACAGCTTCCTCCCTTGATGATTCTGTTCCTGGCCTTAAGCAATAGAGTCTTAGCAAAAGGGAATTTGCTGGAAGTCTTTTGGGGACTACTTGTGCCTGAAGGATATGTGTGTGTGAAGGGCAGGAAACTTGGACCTCAAGGGTAGGAGGTGGAGGCCAGAGGGGTACCCCAGGAACAGCTGGGTAGCTGGTTTCCCGGGACTGTTCCTTAGGCCTGGAATCCTCACTTCAGATCCAAGTTCACCTCATGTCCTCCTCCCTTCCCCATGCTGTGGCTAGTCCCACCGTGAGAATCCTTTCTCTTCAGATTCTGCAACAACCGGAGGTCTGCTTTCAAACACGGTCCAAGAGCCCTCCCTCCTGTAAATGTCTTCTCTGCTTGTGAGATTTAGGCAAAGAAATGATCAACTTTGTTTTTGGCCAACCGTCTTTATAATGAAACTGTTTGGTTGACTGAGACAAGGCACACAGCGTACAATTTGCCTATTTAGTGTGCAGCAACATGGGCACTGGCATGCTCACAAAGCCCTGTGACGATGCAGGCATGAGGACCTGAGTCCGACCTCAAGACCCATTTAAAAAGCTGGGCCTGTTGGCCGGTCCTTGTGATCCCAGCACTGGGGAGGTGGAGACAGGAAGATCTCTGAATCACCATTAAGTCAGGTTTCTGATGGGGGCGTGGAGGTTGCAAGAGCACACTGGACAGATTACTTTGGGAATAAGGGGTTTATTAGAAGACGGACAGGGAGGCAACAGCATGGTGGGGGCTCCCAGAAGAGTTTAGGACTCAGCACCAGAGACAGACAGCATCGTGGGGTCTCTGGAGAGAGGAAATCAGGGCCTATGTGGCAGAGGAAGAAGCCTCTTACCACCCTCTGAGGATGAGGGAGGTTTCAGAGCAAGAGCCAGCACCCAGTTTTCTGTCATGCTGTGATTCCCAGGCAGGAGTCAT